ATGGGATCAAATTTAGGTTATATTAGTCATTTCTTAGAATTATCATCACTAAAATGTTATTTGAATATTAGTTTACAAAATTAGGTAGTTATTTTATTTAAAAATTAAATTTTAAACATTTTGTATCAACCTTCTTTTTTGCTCTGACATATGAACTTTATATCGAGTATGTTATCTTCCAATATTGGTGGGTAGTTGACAACGACTTTATATATGCTTAAAAATACAAGAATTTAATATTGCTGCTAGAAGGTTTAATTCTTCGACAACAGTACCAAAATCTTGATAACGGTTATATATTTGATAAAGATGTATATATAAAATATTCAATAATGGTAAAATCACACTTATCAACGCAAATATACGTATCGCTAAAGTAATACAGGGCTCTAATGAAGTGCTAGATATCGAACTCACAGGGAGTAATATTAGAGACTACGAACTAGGATTTTAGAAAATCAATACTTAATCACAATAATATAATTCAAATTGCTTATCTGTCACTAATAGGCAATTGATATAAATATGTAATTTTAATAACTCTTGAATAACTAATTCTACTAATAAAGTTTCTAATGTGAAATTAAATATATAAAAAAACATCATTCTCCCTGTCAAGAAATTAAAGTGAATGGATAAATAGAATCAGTTAAAATTGGATTGTGCCAAATAGCAGCATAACTATTCTTTACCCTTTGGTCCAGACATAAAGAACATTGACTAATCCTATGCTTGGTTACTGAATCTGTAGCTAGGCTGGGAGGATACCGGCTCTCACTTCTGAGCTCCCACGTTCCCCTCCCTTGAGGGCTAACATCTAAACTTCAGCACCCAAATGATATGACCGAATTGGGGATTTTAGTCTGTCACTCTAAAATCTCCAATTCTACGCCCGATAGATTATTTCCTTATTTATTTGCACCCAACTTCCAAGGGCTTTGACCTCCCTGAATCTTGGATGTAATCTTCACTTTAGTTGTGAATATCAACATATTTTAACAAATCAATTGGTCAAATTGAAAGTAAATTAAAATCTAAGTGAAAAGATCATCACAACTTCTTTAACATTTTCAAGACTCAACCAATTCAAATCACCATTTCACAAATCTCAAGACAAGAAGAAAGACACAAAAAACTACTCAGAATTCATGGGGAAGATACGACAAAAGTCAGAATTTATATATAAAAGCAAAGTCATATCAACTACAACAAGTAAATAACACCTATCTCTAATTCCTCCCCAAGCAAACTCCTCGAAGTTCCTCTGAATCTCTTCCTTTCTTTACAACACACAGAATTTTTCTTCGAAGCGACAAGGAGGAAGAAATCTCTCACTTTCCCTCCACTTATAATCTCTCGAATAATTTCTTGCAATCTAACTAATTCCTTGCAATCTAACCCTAAATTAAACTCTCTACACTCTCCCAACACTTAACACCCCTCTATTTTGGGCCAAAAGCTTCTTTTTAAAATTGTAGAAGAGTTTTCCCAAAAGTTGCAGAGTTTTCCCAAGAGTTGCCTAAGCATCCCTCCAAAAATTGTCTACATTCAATGTACCTTTTGAATTAACCACCGATATCGCCGTCAGCAGCCTCAAGGGCGTCGTCGGCGGGCCTTCTAAATTAATTCATTATTATTAATTCATTAGAGTCTCGGAAAATTCTCGCCGTCGGCGCCCTAGTTCAAATCTTCATATTTTGGTCCTTTTCGCTCCAAATTCGCTCATTTTAGCATCTTTTTGCTCTAATGACCATAAATCATCATACCTGCAACAAAAGATCAAAAATATTTTTATTTAAAGTGCAATATCATCAAAAAAAGTGTAAAATATGTATGAAAATCTCAACATATTTTCCTTTGTTCAGTGGTTCCCTTTGTCCAACCGTGATGATAATTATATCAAAAGCTAGTTCAATTGAGACATTGAAGGTAAGTAGTTACCTGTAAAATAGGTATGAAAATCTCAACATATTTTTCTTTGGTCAAAATCCCCTAAACTTAACTATTACTTGTCCTCAAGTAATTTTAGTACTACATAAAAAGTTATGATCTATTGTAGTAAAATTTTAATTCTGAAAGACTATAAGTTTGATTTAAGTAAGTACCATAGCGAGATTTTCAGAAAAAACTCAAGTAATTAAATTAAATTTGTAGGTACCAGATTATCTAGTCATCAAGTTTAAGAGTTCTAGTCTTATATTCTTTTCAAGAATGACTATATGTTGTAATATCAAGTCACTTAGACTATTCAAATGATAGGACCTTCATGAGAACACTACGAGTAAAGATGTTAATCCATAAATATAAGTTCAGGAATGTATTTAGGTTTTCCCTTTAGGTAGGTCCAGTGAAGCCAATTTTTGATTAGGCATCTCCTCAAGCTTCTCCTCACTTTTATATATTTTTTTTTCTTTTCTCTTTTTCATTTGGATTGCTTTCAATTCTACATATTTTTCTTTTCTTTTCAGGGATTGTTGTCAATCCTTCCTTTATTCTTTTTCAAGTGAATATTACTATATCTGGATAGCCTTTAATGATTTTGAACATCACTTTTATTTCCCTAAATTTGGAACTCAAAGCATTCCTTTACCTTATAAATATTTCATAGCTTTTACATCATTGAGCCCCAACCTTTTCTTCTCAAATGAATTTCCAAGATTCCTAATACTTTAAAATATAGTTTCCCTTACTATAAATAGTTAACTATAGTCTTTTTCTCTTATACTAAATATCATAATCCACAAAATTAATTTTCAATACAAAAATATTCTTTTAAATCCATCATAATATTTAAATATATATAAAATATAGTTATCTGAATTAAATTCACTACAGTAAATCATATTAATAATTTTTTAAAATATTTAAATTGAAAACATCTAATAGTTAATCTTTTTCTTCCCTCCCCCAAACTTAAGTTTTTCAATATGAAATGATACAGGTGGAAAGAAAAGTTATAAATATAATTCATACCTCAGTATTTTAGGCATTTTCATCATTCTGAAATTTTTGCAGTCCTTCTCAAAATTTCTACTTCATCTGGTCTATAACATTAGAAGCTTTCTATACATATAAATTATTAGAGAATTTGCTGGGTAATGAAATTTTGAAATAAGTACAAAAATAAATATTATACAAACACAATATTTCACTAACACATCCACATACTAAACAAAACAATTACAATTAAAATGCGAAATGAAAATCACATCACATTACAATTTAACAAATTTAAACTACCACACCAAGCAATTATAACAATAATTAAAATTTATCCATTTGCAATATAAAAATAAAAATGAATGTACAAACACACAAACATTTATCTCTATCACAAAAATTACAAAATAAAAGTAAAAGTACATCAACTACTATCATATGTAAAAATCCCAAACTATATCTTCGTATCCTTGGTCAGCAGGTGGATTGGGTTGATACTGAGTATATCGGGGGCATTCAGAAAAAGTAACATCAGGTTCACCACTGTAGTGTCGGGCCTGAGCTTCATAGTAAGCTATCTCAAAATCAGAATGCCTTTATAGGTACCCACTATCATAATCATATCTACGTTCTAAACTCCCAATTCATTCGTTTATTAGCTCTATAGTATTTCGCTACAAGGTCAACTCATTCATTAAATCATTCAGGGTAGGGAAAATAGAAGGAGAAATGTCATAACTAGTAGAGGGGATATCTCTACTAGTAGAAGGTTCTTGACTTCTACTCTCAGTTCTCCATTTTTCATTTTCATGGGATTCATATGTCTTCAAATTAGCTTTACTAATGGGCTTCATAGGGTAAACACATTCTTCATCTCCTCCCGCTTTCACTCCAGAAAGTTGGCAAAGTGCATAAATAAGGCCAGAAAGTGCATAAATAAGGCCAGGATGTCCCAGACCTCCACTTGTTTCACTCCTTATCGTGGTCAATATATTCTTAAAAATGATTCTCCCCATATTTATATTTCTATTATTATGAATATATAAATTTAGAATAACTCTTGTTACCTCATTATGGTGATAGATAGGTAAGAGAGTAGAGGAAATAAAATA